CAGGAATGATCCATCAGCATCAAATCCAGAGATTTTTGCAGTATCTCCAGAAATGCAAAACGCATTTCAGGAAACTCTGCTCTGTATCACACAATACTAAGAAGCTAGAAATACCATGCCTGTGTGATAACAATCGAGACAGCAGGACATTCAACTTAATGGGATTTTTCAGCATAAAACTTACCAATCCGTAACTGGTTCTGGCTTGTTTGGCTCTTCTAAGATGCTTGACACTAACCCAAACATATCTGGGCCATTGCCAGAGTAAGAAAGGTTTATTTGTGGCCTGAAAAATAAGAATACAAATAAGCCTGTCTTTAGGAGAACAAACATCTAGTAAGAAAAAAAGAATCCCGAAAACTTACCTCCTAATTTCTTTAGCAGTAGTACATTATAAATATAGGACAGGGGCAGGAAGACAGATCATAGATGAGTAGAGTAGGAAGGGACCTTTCACTTTATCTAGTGCAGTTCCCTGAAGATGCAAGATTTGCTGCCATTAAACCCTCCCAGACAAATGACTTTCCAGCCTTTTCCTGAAAACCTTTGGAGAAGATCTCAGAACATCCTCCACTGTTCTTACTATCAACTAGTTAGCACAATAATTTCTCTTGCAGATGAAAGTGTTTCGTAATATCTCGGATCATATGTTTGAAGATTAACATTTCTTTATATAACTAGTATGGTTTAAAACACCAGGAGCAACATCTCTGCATGAAAAAATACTTTTTTTTTTTTTTTTTTGGAAGAGGGGGAAGATAGATGAATGAGCCGATTTCTACCTCCCAGTCACCTTTTTCTCCCTCTCTCCAGGAACAAAGATGAGATAGGACAGAAATCAAGCAGAAAAAAGCCATGTGGAAATGTCCCCGAGAAGAGTGGAGAGCTACAATGGCGTTTTTGTCAACCAGCCCCATACAAGAAAGGTACACAAGAACTGCCATATTAGATCAGATCCAAGGTTATGGACTGAAAGACCTTTCTGGTCAGTGATTTCATTCCCTGAAAGACGTGAGAAACCTGCAAGTAGGCAAATGTCCCATACGTCCCAGACTGGCCGGGACAGTCCTGGGTTTCAGACACCAGTCCCAGCTGGCTGGTGAAAATCAGAGTGTGTCCCAGGTGTGGGGTGGGGAAGCAGGGCAGCAGGAGCTGTGAAATAGGAAGCCCTAGCAGACATCCAAATTGTGTCGTTAGCTTGATTAGTGGAAAGGCCGATATAAAGGGGATTGTTAACACCTGTGAAGAAAACAATGGGCAACTCTTTAGCTGTAATACCAATGGTAACACCTATGAAGAAAACAATGGGTGACTCTTTAGCTGCTTGAATAGTAATACCAATGGCGCCCCATCCAAGCCTCTGCCTGCAGCAGTGGAGGGGAGAGGGGTGTGCATGGGGGCAGCATCCTGGATTTCATGTTGTCCCATAGTTATTAAAATCCAAGATAAGCTTCCCTCGAGTCAGTATGGTGGGGTGGAGGAGGCTCATTTTAGATTTAAGATCTATCTCTAGATCCACACTTCCCAAAACCCTTGGCTAAAAATAACTAGCTACTATACATAATCTATTGCACGCGTGCGCGTCCTATACCACCTTCTTTCCGGACTTGGGAACCAAGCACCTACCCTCCTGCTGCATGAGACTTTCAGTCCAGACATACGCCAGGAAATTAAGTATTTCATACCTTTTTTTTGTGCAGTCTTGTAAAGTTGTTGTTTTATTGGCATCGTCTCCGCACACGGACCAGTGACTATATAACCGGGATGATTCCAGAGGTGGCGGTGTACTAGCAATCCCTCCTAGCAAAGGAGAGAATAACTGAGTGTCCATCGTTTGTCTGTTGCCGTTTACCTGAGTAAAAAACAAACAAAAAAAAAAAAACACAAAAAAATTGAAAATGAAAAAAAGAAAAGGAAATGAAAAAAGGAAGGGGGAATAGTTTTGCATAAACACCTAACTTTTAAAGCAATAGAGGCAACTTTCCCAAAGTAAAGCTTTATTTCTTTTCTGAAGTGTTTATACTGTACCAATAAAAACGTATGCTAATTATCTTTAAGGAGACCTCAAACTTGTACCTTTTTTGTCCCCCAAATGCACCAAATCTGATGAATTTACAGGACACATTGCAGAAGGCAGACACATTCATTACTTTATAGGAACTAGAGTTCTTCAACAAACCTTTGTCCACAGGGGTCCCGCTATAGGTGCGGGTGCCCCTTGCACACAAGCCTGGAGTCTTTTAGCTAGCGGTGCAAAGGTGATCTCTGCGTGCTCAGGACCACGGGGTATGACGGATGGAGCAGCCTCGACCATCAGTCAGTTCCTCAACCAAGAGACTCACTAGAAATGGCTCTTTATCAGTAAGGAAGGACAGCAGGTCGTGGAGTCCATGTGGCCGACAGCATCTCAAAGAACTCCAATTCCTATACAGCAAGTAAGCTTTCTTCTTCATCAGCACCTACTCCACCGCTGGTGACTAACACTTACCTCTCAAGGAAATGGGTAATAAGAACAGAATGAAGGACAACTCAACCAAATTCAGCATTTGATCTAGAAGTCATCACAATGCAGTCGTCATGGGTAAAGAGACGGATAGATAATCAAGTGCTCCCTTGAAGCAGTTCAAGAACAGAGGATATTAAATGTCACCTGAACCCCCTTTTGAGAGCCCCTGATGGGAAGGACAAACTTTATAAGGATTTTGGGTACATCTTGAGTAAACTTCTGTCCTCGTGGAATAGTGGAGCTGCTAACCTCGTTATCAAAGCCTGCATTTACTTGACTTTGAGCCGACCCAAACCAACAATGCGGTGGTCAATGGAATGATGAAACAGCAAACGCTATGGCGCATTGAATGGGATAGTCCATTAAAATTAGAAATATCACATTCAAATCCTGCACAGGATCCTCCTTACCTGATGGGAGCCCAATACTTCAACCAAGGTGAGACTGGGGGTGGGGGGGAATCACATGCTCCCCAACTTGACGAGGAAATGGGGAGACAGTGACCAAATACACTCAGGGAACTGGCAGGTAAGTTCCCGTCAAATATATTCCAAGACAAAAGACAGCAATCTAGGGAAGAGACGCATCTCTCAGCGACTCGCATGGAAAAACACTCCCATTTAGTTTTATATTAGCTTTGTGCAGGCATTCATTCTCTAAAGGAAAATATCCTTAGCTTTTATTCAGAAAGAATTCAACTAGCTAACCTCAAGCTGTCAGCTGTAAAGTTGGTGGGTCCAGAAGCAGCATGAGATCAGGGGTTGCATGCTCGAAGCATTCAGGAGTGAGGAGGACAGATGTACTGGTAGGTACATTCAATTTGGAAACAATCATGAACATGAGACTGGAGATGCTGTTCCACTAGAACCGAGGTTTTTCATATCTGGATGATTCAACACCCTGCTTAATTTGCGGCAAGTCACCGAATTAAGGATGAGCCATTCATCCATTTGCTGCAGTTTTTATACCAGAAGGCACCACTCCACTGTCAACTGGAGCTCATCAGCATTCCCACGCAGCTGAAAGGAGAAGCGGTGCCTTGTGAAATAAAAAAAACTACAGCGACCAGTTGGAGCAGGGGTGAGCAAAATGCGGCCCGCCAGGCTATTCAATCCGGCCCGCGGGGCCCCTAAAAAATTTAGAAAATTAATATTTATCTGTCCCTGGCTGCCTGTCATGCAGCCCTTAATGGCTTGCCAAAATTCAGTAAGTGGCCCTCTGCCCAAAATAATTGCCCACCCCTGAGTTGGAGCATCCTGGCAGATGCATATACCCCCAACTAGTTCACTATTCCTTATCACTGCACGGGGTAAGGAACCTAATCCTATGAAGAATCCAGGTTATGTGAGGTTTCACATCTTGTCCTAAAGACTCTGAAAAGCAATAAAATTTGCAAGACTCCCACCAACTCAGTAACACAGCTGCCAATGAACTTGGATTAAGTCCTCCTCAAGACCAAGATATGGGTTCTTGCTTCCATCAGTTTTACTTTTTCTACATCTATGTCTACCCATCTACATAAAGCCTATTGCAGGGACTCCCTGTTTCTGGAATAATCAGTTCAGAATAATCTTTTCAGAATAGACCTCCTTGTGCTGTGTGCGTGTCACTGAAAGGCGTGTCACCCTTCCAGCTGTTTTTTTTTAACAATTTGAACCCCTGCTCTAGGTGCAGAGACAGGGACAGAGCCAGCACCTTCATGCTTCCTTCCTGGAATTGAATACAATGCATTTATTCCCCGGTTCTTGGGATGGAGGACGCTGGTTCTCCCTTCTTGTTTTGGGCCCTGAGTGATAGCCTAGTGGTAGTGCTCCAATACAAGACCTCCCTGTGCAGTGTGTGTAATTATAAGTGTTGTCTGTTAAGATATGGATAGGGGTGCATTGAAGTGGAAAGGAAAGCTTGCACGTTAGATATACAGCTCCGAGCTCCAATCAAATGAAATGGGGCAACTGGGACAGATCTCATCCAAGGCCAAAGGACTTGAATTTTAAGGCTGTCTAAACGAGTACGTCACAAGAGTCTTCTGAAGGGAGCGGAGGACTTGAAGGGTGTCTGTCTGCTGACGCAGATGTCAGCAGCTTGGAGGAACTTCTAACAGCAAATTCATGCTGCGTCTGGCTGGATGACAATGCTATTGTCAATCATCCATGAAAGAGAAGGTGCAGTCTTGCATGGAGAGTTAAAACGAATGCAAGCTGCCACACAACCCACAAAGCAAGGCAAGGTTTTACTAAGATTCTCGGTTGGAAGAAGTCTGAAATACGATTCATTGCATAAATCATCTCCTGAGGAAGTCTGCTCTGGCTTGCACCAAATCCAACTTCATGCTGATAAACTCAATTGCAAGAGAGGAGGAGCGAGAGAATTTTGCTCTGATTAAGCTGGAAGCCTAGTTGGAGAAACGAAGTGTGCCCGACGACTTGCTGGGGAGCTTCCCCAAATTAACCACCCACCTCAACAGGAGTATGCTTAAAATACCTCGTTTCCTCCAATATGCTAGTCCTGCTG